ACTGGTTCAGTGGGTGCTGGCAGTATGCCAGGATGTGGTATAGAGGAGGGAGGAGAGCGGGCACTTACGCACCCTTCCTCTTCTTGTCCTGACCCGGAAGTGATGTGACGTCACTTCTGGGTTCCTGTTGACAGATTCCCGGGCATCGAGGCCGGGAAAGAATGTAATGTGGTGCGATGTGCACTGCATTACATTCAGTGTAGTACAGGGGAGACATGCAGGGTCTTTTAGACCATGGATGTCTTAAAAAAAGAACCTGTCACCAAAAATCATCACATAGGGGATATAAGTCCCCTATGTGATGAAAAAAAGTAAGTAAAGACAAGTAAAAAATATATATTTTTTTAATTTTTAAACAATGTAAGTTGCACACAAGCATATAATCCCCCCCCCCCCCCCAAATTTTTCAAGGCCCCCCCCCCCACATATGTGCGCACGTACAAACGTAAAAGCACACACATAATATGCGCCTACACATGAAAACGACGATTGCGCTACACATGTTACATATTGCTGCGCACACCAGGATGAGAGCAATAATTCTAGCACTAGACCTCCGCCGTAACGCTAAACTGATGACCTATAAGGGGCTTTAAAAGCGTCACCTATAGAAAATATAGGGTAATGAAGTTTGTTGCCCTTTCACGAGCACACGCAAATTGAAAGTTTGACAAGTTTGATATCTATTTACTCAATGCAACCTCATCTTTTATATTTTACAAAAAAAATGGATGATTTATTGTTTTTTGCGCCCTAAAATTAACTTAAGTGTATTTTTGTACTGAAATTTTACATTTTCCAGACCTTTGTGATAATATCGTGTCACGTAAAAAAATTGGAACTACCGCTATTTTATTCTCTAGGATCTCTGATTTGAGAAAATATATAATGTTTTGGAGTTTTGTGTAATTTTCAGGCCTTACATAATTTTTTAAATGTGTGCAAAAAACGCAAAAACGGCTCTGGCAGCGAAAGGGATAAAGGATAAGCTTGACACTCCCCTTTCCTGACGAGCAGCCAATCGGTGCTCATTACACTGCAAGGTCTTTCTCCTCCCTGCTAGTCCCCGGGTGCGGTGCTGGAGACAGACAGGGAGGAGGAGATAAACAGCGCAATGTTCAAAATGTTAAACGTTTAAGTCACCATTAAGCCCCTTTTGTTTTTAAAAGCCCCAGACATTACTTAAAGCAGATTTTAAATACTGTTTTGGTTAAAAAAAAAAAAAATATCAGGACAAGTAGATTGTCATGAGGGACAAGTAGAGTGGAGCACTGATTTAGTCCCTGGACAAGTAGTTTTTTTAAAAAAAAATGTACCCACCCCTGTAGGTTGATTCTTCTCTCTAACTTAAAGTGGTTCTAAAGGTTCAATTTTTTTTTCATTAAAATAACAAACATGTTATACTTACCTGCTTTGTGCAGTGGTTTTGCATAGAGCAGCCCCGATCTTTCTCTTCTTGGGTCCCCTACTGTTGCTTCTGGTCCCTCCCCCTTGCCAAGTGCCTCCATAGCAAGCTACCTGCTCTAGGGGAACTCTTGCATACTCGCTCCCAAGCCGACTGTGTCTGTGTATGTGCATCATTTGTTAGACATGCATTTCTTTTGAATTTTTTGTTTCTATTCTGTCTCTCGGTGTTACAATACACCTACCATTCAATTTTTAGACTGAACATTTCTTTGTGAGTGGGCAAACATTCAAAATCAGCAGGGGATCAAATACTTATTTCCTTCACTGTATATCTAAACTCAAGAAGAAATATATATTATTATACAGGATTTATATAGCGCCAACAGTTTGCTCAGTGCTGTACAATATAACGGGAGACAATACAGCAACAATATATAATAATTTCTTTAAAAATCATACAATGTGATTTCCTGAATTATTTTTTTTTAATTCTGTCTCTCAGAGTGGGAATGCACCTACAATGTGAATGTCAGACCCCTCCATGATTTCTAAGTGGGAGAACTTGCAAAATCGCAGGGTGTTCAAATACTTCTGTTCCCCACTGTAGGTGTGTATGTATGTATGTATGTATGTATGTATATATATGTATATATATATATATATATATATATATATATATATATATATATATATATATATATATATGTGTATATATATATACACATACACACACACACACAGATACAGTGAAGGAAATAAGTATTGATCCTCTGCTGATTTTGAATTGAGTTTGCCCACTCACAAAGAAATGAACACTCTAAAAATTGAATGTTCGGTGTATTGTAATTGTATTGTTCGGTGTAAGAAATGCATGTCTAACAAATGATGCACTGATTTGCATGTTCATGAGGGAAATAAGTATTTGATCCCCTATCATTCAGCAGGATTTCTTGCTACCAGGTGTCTTTCATACAGGTGATCACATAACAGTCACGATACCTCGGGCGCCCAAAGCATCCGGGTACCGGTTAAACAGAAATCCGGTGGACACAGCAATCACGGGAACTTCACGCCCCAGCGGTTGCACCAGTCGACACATATTTAGGTTGCTGAGTCTGGCTATGCAGTAAAAGTACTGTGAGCGGGACGGCAAGTGGTTAATGCAACTGCAATTGTTTACGGAACCAGTTTATTGTTCTTAATATAGAAAGGTGAAACGGGAAGAGTTCTAGTTGACTCAACTCCTAAATCTGTTGCGGGTATTTTTCAAAGATGTATTTGCTCATATTACATTGTTATATTCAAATAAATAAGAACTATTAAAACAAGACATTTGCTTGTAGCTCACCAGTTTGGCTTCTTATGCTGCTTCTCACTCTCCCAGTCTGAGTGCTGCTTTACAAGAGATTGCAAAAGGAAGATGCCAAGTCCCAAGATGCCAAAAAAAAAAAGAAAAACTGATGGGTTAAAATCAGTTCTCACTTTATCCAAAATTACTGGCTTTACATGCAGTTTAAAGTGACTCTTTCATGGGAATAAGAATTAAAACAAAAATCACCTGAAGAAGACACTTTAAACATGCCTATCCTGGTCCCAATTGTAGAATCTTCTCCCTTTTGCTCAGCAAAGCTGCCCAAATAATCTTCATATCCAAAATATTTTTCAGTTGTGACCAACACAAGCATATCCCACATATTTTCGGTTTCCCACTTACCCATATGTCATTGCAGGGCAGACCGTAATAGGGGCTAGCAGGAGGAATTCTATGAGTTCAGCCATCTGCCACATGTCAAAGTGCATCAGATGTGAAGGTTCTCCCAGGCAGTGTAAGCTCGGCAACGGAACAAAAATTATGCAAACCGACACCGAGAAAGGAAAGTTTATCCATACATGTTTTGATTTCCCGTTTCAATCCCACATCTACATCAAACAGCATGGATGGAGGAATCTCCTCTACCTTCTGTTGTATTCAAGCAGCTGCAACACCCATTATTATTATTATTATACAGGATTTATATAGCACCAACAGTTTGCTCAGCTCTTCACAATATAACGGGAGACAATACAGCAACAATACAGTTCAATACAAGAGGGATTTGAGGGCCCTGCTCCTTGGAGCTTACAATCTAGGAGGGAGGGGCTAGTGGTACAAAAGGTAGTAACTGTGGGGGATGAACTTGTTGGAAGAGTAGAAGATTCCAGTATTAGCTGAGGGCAGGATAGGCTTCCCTGACTAGATAGGTTTTCAGAGATCGCCTAAAAGTGAGCAGAGTAGGTGATAGTCTGATAAATTGGGGGTAGAGAGTTCCAGAGGATGGGGGAAGCTCTGGAGAAGTCCTGGAGACGAGCATGGGAGGAGGAGACAAGGGAGCTAGAGAGTAGGAGGTCATGGTTGCCTAAATACCCAAATAGTGAGTGCATCTGATTATATGCAGCCATTATTTAACTGAGACATTCCACTCAGCTCAGTGATTTTTTTTTGTTTTATATTCACTTTTGTTGAGCCAGGTGGTACCAACCAATCACTGCTTGAATTTGGGACAACAGGAATTGGCCAAAAGCCAAGTCAAGTATGGCTAGGCACTTTCACACTGATCAGTAGTTCTTCCGTTTTTGCGTTGAAAAGCGCATGACCATTAAATCACATGGAACTCTTCACACTGGTTAGTTGCAGGTCTGTTGCCTTTTTCAAAGTCCTGCAAGCTGCATTTTTGTGCGGCAAAAAAAAACCACACCAAAAACTCACCTTCCTAAATAAATAGAAAATGCAATAAAAAAGTGCGGCAAAAATGCAACCGGTTTTTGTGCATTTTTGAGTCACATGCCCTTTTTTCACAGGTGTATAACGCGCTGAAAAGGTTTTTGTAACAGAGCAATGTGAAAGTAGTCTTCCAGTAGAACTAAAGGGAATTTTTGTTTTTCATTTTGGTTACAGAATGGAAGAATATAACACCTGTCAGTTTATTTTTTGCCATCTGTGTCCTATTGGGGAGATTTCCCTTCACTTCCTGTCCTGTTGCCAAAACAGGAAGTGAGATGAAATCCCTAAAAAATTAGGGGTTCCCTGCTTGTCACAATACTAGTATCCCAATTGGAACAATTACCCTTTATTACTCTTCTGGGGACAACTCAAAATTTGGCGTTCACTCTTGGAGGTAATGGTAAACATAACAAATCGAGAGGGTGTATCTCGCTAACTGGAGCACAGACAGCAGTAAAAACCTGTCAGGTGTTCTAATCCCTCTCCACGCTATCCAGAATCAAAAAAATATACTAGACCAGGGCCAGATATCCAAAGGACAGCATATTAATACTCATGCTATTTTTTTTTTATACAGTGGAGAGCCACCAGTGATTCATAATATGTAAAGTGTGTTTATTGTTCTGTGGATGCACTGTTTGCGTCTCTGTATTTGTTGGGTCTTCGGTGGAAAGGAAATTGAAAAAACTTTAAAGTAAAACTAAAGGTAAAACCATTTTTTTTTTGCAGGTGCAATCCTCTCTCCCGAAGGTATGGAAGGTCAAAGTGAGCACCTGAGGGTGTCAGAAAGGAGGCCGCAGCTCTCGTAATAAAAGCCGCCATTTTGGGAAACATGGCTGCCCTGGACTTTTTGATCAGTTTTGAAAACCTGCGGGAACTGCGGAGGCTGTGTCATTGGGGCCCCATCATCGCCTTGGGAGTCATCATCATCTGTTCTATTGTGGCAGTCTTAGACTCCATCCTGTGGTACTGGCCCCTCGATACCCCAGGGGGGTATTAACTTCTTGACGCTTATTAACTGGACTGTTATGATTCTGTACAATTATTTCAATGCAATGTTCATTGGACCTGGGTTTGTTCCTCTGGGATGGAAAACCGGTAAGCACAGCAAGCTTCTTTTGTCTTCTGTGTCCTAAAGAATCTGAGGATCTTCAAATCCTGGATCCTACAGTCTACATAAATCCTTTTGCAGGAAAGTCAGAAGTCCTTGGCAGCATCTTTGTTCTGTGTTAGCGATTCAGAGTATTGAAGTGAGAGGATCAGCATGACCACCAGGCAACTATGATTTGCAAGAATCAAATGTCAGCAATTGCAACCTCCATGTTTATTTCTGTATAGACTTCCTTTAATATGAGCGCCTGCAAGGCAAAGCAACAGGTTTGCTCCCCTCTCCAGAAGTACTTTCCTTTCCATCTCTCTACTGCACCCCCCAGTACTTAGGTTAGGGTGGAGCATGTGACAGTGTTAGTGTTTTGATGATTGGCTTAGCACTGTCACATGGTAGAGACTTGAGATGTCAGTCCTATGTAAGCTCATACTATAGGGTCATAGAGCTTACACTAGGATTTCCTCTTTCCTCCCAGAACAAAATTGTGTTTGGGTTAAGGAAGAGTTGATGTGCAAATGGGCAGGGGGCTTTAAAAAATTGAATCTGTTGCTTTGCTTTAAGGTCTTGTTCACACTTGACTAAATTTCTAACTCTTACCAAACACTCCGATAGCTTTAGTATGGACTTTAGACCGGCTTTAATGAGCTTTAGTAAGGGCATTAGACAGGCTTTAATGAGCTTTAGTAAGGGCGTTAGACAGGCTTTAATGAGCTTTAGTATGGGGCCTTAGACCGACAGCTTTAATGAGCTTTTTAATGTATGGGCCTTAGACCGGCTTTAATGAGCTTTAGTATGGGCCTTAGACCGGCTTTAATGAGCTTTAGTATGGGCGTTAGACTGGCTTTTTTACAAGCGTTAAAAATGCTCCCCAAAAGCCCTATGTGCAGTTTTGACGCGTTTCATAAGCGTTTGACAAGTGTTGAAACCACACCACAAACTAAATAAACTAATGCTATTACCTCTACAAATGCCCTACAAAAACGTCTGCCAGTGCATTTGA